TTACCCCCATTGCTTCTCGATCTTTTTGTAAGGAATAGCTCAAATTCACAGCTATGGTACCAGAACAGCCAGTAATTATCGAACGCATTTTGTGCCGTACAAATGTCAAGCAGTTTACAATTCTCTACCAAGGTCCTAAAATTTGGAACTCTCTCCCTATTTCGGTCACTCGTTCGTCAAACTTTCTCAGCTTTAAAGCAAAATTGCAAGAGTTTTTACTTAAATAATCACTGAATCGGCCAAGCCGCACACTCGCAGCACCTTTTCTTTACTTAATTTATTATTGTAAGTGAGGTGGCTCTCCCATAAGCCTGGTGGCTTCTTAGGTCTCCTCGCCTTCTAACTGTTATCGCTATAATTAACTATTATTTAATTGTTAAAATAAGGCATATAAAGATGATGATGATGATGAAGAAACCTATTTTTTTGCTACGGAAAAATTGTTTTCCATCTTGGGTCATAGACAAGATCATTTACAGGTATCTAGCAAAGAAAAATTATCCTTCTCCTACTGGGCAGAACGCCTCTTCTAACACCGGTAAACCTTCTTCGCACTATTATAAACTTCCCTATGTTGGTCGGTTTTCGAACATCGCTCAGACTAAGTTAAGACAACTACTCAAACGTTATTGATAGATATCCAGATAGCTTTATTAGGAAGTAAAATCATTGCAGCCCGCGGGCCGGCTGAAATACGTCTTACTTTACAATGGGAATAAATTAGCTCTTACTCTAAGATAACTACAATAAAAGCTGCAAAGTGTAATCTACAATAAAATACAATAAGAGAAGTATCAAAAACCAAAATACAAATAATTAAGATAGCTACTAATAATTAAAACTGTTCGCCATGATTATTGTTAATGTAGAGTTCATTGTTAATGTAAAGTTCGTATTGTAGAGCTGATTTAGATGTTAAGTTAGTCTTCCGTACGTTTAAACTCAGAAACATGTTTAGTGTGAAAGATTCAGTACCGCTGGGTCTACGTTCGCGTGTCGTATGTAGATTTTCATGTGCTGACGGTAATGTCAGTTATATTGGTGAGACCACTCGCCACATTTGTACACGAGTTCGTGAGCACCTCTTGTCGGACAAAACTTCGCATATTTACAAGCACCTGCAATCATCAAGGGCCTGTCTTGACTCTTGTGATACTGAATGTTTCACGATCTTAGGTTTTGCCGCTTCAAAATACCAAACTAAGATCAAAGAGGGATTGCATATTAAGCGGGAACAACACATTCTTAATCAGCAATTGAAGCATCTAGAATTGTCCCTTTCCTTTTAATTATGTTTTTCCTTGGTCTTTTATTTTATTATTATTATTATTATTATTATAATTATTTTATTTATTTATTTATTTTGCTTTAGATCTAGTCAAGCGCGCGCTATTTACATTTTCACGTTTTTAACATTCAAATCTAACGTAAGCCCTGACACGTAGTTTGTAACGTACCTTGATATAAATTCAAATGTACAACCGTTAAATACTCATTTGCAACTGAAAATGACATGAGAATGTCGAAAAATGTCTTGTAAATTCAAACTGAAAGTTGTTGTTTCTTTTTTGAGAGAAACTGAGATAAATAACCAAAAACTTAACAATTTGTACTTTTATAATGGCCATATGCGTAACTAGCAATGCCATCAGAAAGAATATGTCTTTTATCATCAAAAAAACTTAATGAAACCTTAGTTAACTCATAACTACCAATCTGGTGGTTTTGGCTTCTAATGGTTTTCATTTTGTGATTTATTTGTTTGTCATTTAATAAAACATCAGCATAATTTGCATGTTCTCAGTCTTTTTTTTATCACTGTTTTTTCCTTTTGCTGTTCTGCTAGTGTTACCATTATCTTTATTATAACTGTACATTTTGTATCTTAAGCCAACAAACTCAATGATTGGAACACCAGCAGCTTCATCTTTCATTTTACCAATAACTTTCTTGTTTTCTTTGTTAAAGTATTGTGAAGATTCATCGTAATCACTGTTGTCAAACATATCTCTATTCTTCCAAAAATCTTTGTAAACATTTACTGCTTCAATCTCATAAGTTAATGAATCAGTATCTGTAGACAATAACTTTGCTTTGTCGTTATATTTATACTTTGTATAATTGTAATGAAAATCATACAAATCTGGAATACACATTCAAACATAAGCTGGTCGATTTAAAGTCAATGTATCTTTTATTTTGTGAACAGCAACAAGATTCTCATTAAATATCTTACTTGATACAAAAGTTGGTTTTGATGTTAATTTCAACAACTTATTCTCATTTGTTACAACTCTCACATCAACACGTTTTCTTAGATTTCCCATTGTTTTACCAAACACTGAATTATTCATTAACTTGAAAAAGTCTTTCTCAAAAGCGTTTTTTGCTTGTGTTCTCTTTTGTGTATTAAAGTCGATGTATTGTCTTAACGATGGTGACTGAATAAATTCAAGTACTCTATGAACTTTTTTCAATTTCATTCCAAGGTTGAGATATAGCTGAAGATTTCGGTAATGAAGAACGCATTTCTCTTGGTTTGATAATGTTAGGATCAATTTTGATACAAGACCTGTTGATATATTAATTTTATCAGCGATTTGTTTACTGTATGGTGACAACATGTCTGGTGTGACTTTGACCTTTTCCGGTGCGAGTAGATAATCATTATGCAAATCATGCAATTATTTTGGGTATTCAAGATCGACTTCCAAAATTAATCCCTTTTTACTATCTTCAGTAAAAGAACAGATGTTAAGTTTATCAATCTTCTATTGTGAAAGCCATTTGAATCCACCAGTCGGAATGTATTGCGACCTAGCTCAACCGTAAACATTATTAGCATCAAGATACATGATATACTTTGAAGGTTCATTCTCATTAAGATCTTTCATGTATTTGTTATTCGCTTTTCCACATCGATTAGCAATATAACTTATTCCACCGCGCATACCTTTTTCAGTGAACTGAAACATGTCAATATTAGTCATCAATTCAAGTTTGATGTTAGTCATTTTCAACATAGCATCCCAAGATAATCCCAGACTTGTGAAGTAATGGCAAGGATCGAGTTTGTAATATTGAAGACAAGTTTATCTGAAATTCTAAAACACATCAGCTAACAACAATATGTCAGACTTAAGGTACAAATCATGATAATCACCCATTGTTTTTAACTTGAATCTTTTTTATATACTTTAAGCATGTTTGCAATCATCGTCTGAGATATGCTCATCTATTAGTATGCTGTAAAATTTATCTTTGGTTGGAAGTTCTGTCTCATCGAATTTATCAAAGCTATCCATGTAATCATAAGGATAAACACCCTTTTGAGTCATAAGATTGAATTTTGTTTTCTTGAATTGTTCTGAAGTATATTTAAAGCTTCTTTAGGAAGATTATTGACTAGTTTATCAAGACTTGAGCTCATGAATTGAAAACTATCGATGAAAGTAAGATGACTCCCTAGTGTGAAAGCCATATACTTTTCCATGTTGTTTGGAATTGCGTTAATGTTAATTTCAGATTCTTCTCCCCCCACTCGGGCCTTTGCTAGCTAACGTGTTTATGTCATCGTTGGAAGAAAGGCTAGTGCTCGAAGGCAAACTGCCTGATTATCATCGCAGATATGCTGATAAAACTCTCACTATAATGCCCAACATTACTACAGCTACGGATTTCCTAGACACCCTGAACCACGCCCATCCTCTGTAAGCTTCACAATGGAAATCGAAAAAGATGGCATTCTCCCCATTCTTGGAACCCAGCTCCTAAACCATGCACCCCAAATGGAGACGAAAGTTTATGTTAGGTCAACTAATACTGGTTTACTTGTCCACTACCAGAGTTACGTTGACAACCGGTACAAACGGAACTTAACAACTATGCTCGATCGCGCTCACCGTTTGTCCTCTTCATGGCTTTATTTTTCTGAGGAGTGTGAGCGCTTGAGGTATTTACTCTCACGTTTAGACTACCCTCTCCACCTTATCAACTCCACCATTAACACCTTTATGAACTCGAGAGTTGCTGACCAGCAGCCATTGCAGGCGTTGGGAAGATTGGCGAAAAATGATGTAACCCGGGTAGTCATACCCTTCAAGGACCAAGACTCCGCTAACATTGTTAAGAATGGCTGCCTGTTAGAATCGAGAATCGTCCGTCAGCGACCATTTTGGCGAATTGCTCATATTTTGCCCAACGATACCCTTTGGTAAACTGTTTTCAAAAATCAAGTTTAAATGTTCCGACGAGTGTTCATTTTTCAGAAATTTGCGAAAATTTGAAAACGCGGTTTAAGTGCGGTTTTTCGCTTGGCAAATTGTCCAAAACTCACTGCAAAACCCAAGCTCCGTTGAAGGCTTAAAATGAATTCAGTTAACACCAAACTTTACTTGTGTCAAGAAAAAGTCTTCCCATTCATTTGTGTTATGTTAATTTTTTCCGTACACAGCTATGTTGTGATCTTTTTTGTCCCTTAAGCAACACCCTCAAAAAGTTCTGTACATGGGGCGAAATATAGGTAAAATTTAACGCGATAAAAGTATACCTGGTACATAATTTTTTAAATTTTTAACTTGATATTCGTAATAAAATGTCATTATTCAATACCTGGGTAAAATTTGAGGCTTTGAATCGGAACGCTTCCTTTTGAAAATACCACAAATTTTTGTGTCCTGAGCGAGCAAAGATGTATGTTTTGTAAACAAACGCTAATATAATTATTCCCTGCAGGGTAGAAAAAGGTTTTGAAATCAACTTTAATTTTGGAAATTTTTAGCTGTTATGCCACAAGATATTAGGTAAAGGGGAAATCATACATTCAAAGAGGCGTGTGAGAGCAGAGAGAAAATAAAATCAGTGTCCAAAATGTACATACCGTTGTTACATCGATCAACATTATGCAAATTACGACCTCAGCTGTAGGAAAACTATGATATCTCTTGCTCAGTTTGTTGAATGACTCTTAAACAATTAAATGGTTGTTTTTCATATATATAGAGATAATATGTATATATTGATCAATAATTCCTGAGAATGCAGGGGGAGAACAGCATTCTGTACAAGCATTTCAGTGTACCAATGCGAATTATTTCTATTTATCATAACCGACGTCCGATCCCAGCAAACACGCACCACATGAGACCCTAAATGGGCTGTCATAAATATACCAAAGACTGAAAAAAACAAAAACTTCACTCAAGGTCTGATAACCACACGATAACACTTTTACACTTCAATCTCAGATTTACTACAAAGGGCAAAGGATAGTGCGTCGGTATACCCAGTATACTGTGGGAAAGGAAGATTCTCGTGTTTCTCTGAAAGAAGGCTGGGCTCTCAGAGTAATAAAGAAGGCTTACAGATTCAACGAAAAACAAAAGTCGTACCTTCTGTCTAAATTTCGAATAGGGCAGACGACAGGCCACAAGCTTGACGCTGAGGTAGTTGCTCGAGATATGCGGCGTGCCCGGGGCACCGATGGTGCACGAC